ATAACAAATTTTTACTTTTTTATGTGTTCCGTGGCAATGTTTATCCGTTATACTGCGGAGCGGCGCCCATGCGCTTCTATATTTCGTTTTTGCGCAGCTAACGTATTGCGATTGCCTTGAAAAAAAATATTCAAAATCAAAGTATTCAAAGTATAAAAGAAATCAAATTTTTCAGAAAGGTCAATTTTTCTCAAAAATTTAAAAAATCACAAAAATCGATTTTTTCAGAATTCTAAAAGAAAATTGAATCTTTTTTAATAAGTTTAGAGTTTTATTAGCAATCAAAATAATATACATTTTTTAAGACAATATGTTGGGTGTAAATGCATTTAAGAGATTATCTCCTATGAGAAATCTCTCTTTTTTATTGTTTATTTTATTGGGTGTCCTGGTAGTTTTTCGTGGTATTTTTTGCTCCTTTCTTTTATAATTTCATTAATAGTTTTTATTCTTAGGTCTTTATGTAGGGTGTCATTTGTAATATACCAGGGTGCGTTCACAATGCATCTTTAAATTTTCGATTGCGCTATTTGTATTTTTTTATATTTGAATTGCTTGCGCACGCCCATAGTTCAATTCCGTACGTCCAGATTGGGATAATTATTGTTTTATATAGAAGGAGTTTGTTTTCATAGCACATATTAGTTTTCGGTACGGGAATTTCCAGCAATTTGCCTTAAGGCACGATGCCATGCACCACTAGTTCGACAAAGTTTTGCACAGACAGGTATAAAATTCGAATATCAGTAGAGAATCAGTAAATTGGTGAAGTCAGTTATTCAAATTATTAATTTCAACTTTGTAGTGATAATTAGTATTTATCAATTCAAGAACGAAAGTAGGTAAGAATTATGCTTAAATTATTAATAGTGCAGAAAACGGAGCGTTTTAGGTCTGAATTTTTTTACTGTGCTCCGAATTGAATGAAATTGAAATGAAAAATGAAACTATCTTCAGAAAACTCACGATTTTATAAAAACTTTTTTTCCAATTTGCGCGGCCGCGCAGTCTTTAAACATTCATAACTCTGTCAATTTTTGTGTGAAAGAAAAATAATAAAAAACAATAATAAGACAGAAAGATCCCTTTGATTCTTATATATATGCTTTTATACGTATCTTTTATTCTTTTCGAGATATAATGAAAATAATTTCGATTTTAAAAAAAAAATGGAAAAAAAAGTTTTTACAAAATCGTGAGTTTTCTGAAGATAGTTTGTACTAAAGTAGTGAATCTGCTAGAATCCATCAAGATGTCTATAATGAAGTGAATTCTAGATGGAATGTGAATTACTTTAATTCTGGTGGAAATGGCGCTCATTAAACCATATGATTTAAAAGGAAAAAACTTCGTATATGCTTCTTATTTGCATGATAGCTCACTCATTTTACACGCAAAAAACTTGTAACAGCACTCATTTTAAAGCTTATATTGAGCGCTATAAAACCCAATTTCACCGAAATGCATAAAATGTAAAACCACGATACTAGATGGCTTTAAATACAACAATTAAATCTTGAACGAAATGAAAAACGAGTTTGCTCTTTCAAATCTTGCTTAATATTTTTCCTAGAACACTTTATGTAATACCGATTTATTAAGATTTTTATTGACATTATTTTGTTCATTACATGATTTTCGTTAAAATGTATATTTTAGGAGATATTTGCAAAAAAACGAAGAAAAAGGCCAAAAATATATGAATCTTTAGTGGCCAGTAACTTGAAAAGTATTAGTTTTTTTTAAAAAACTATAGAAGATATTTTTTTCTTATAATCAGTTCTTCTATCGATTTCCGATGTTATTTTGAACAAATGTAATTACACGATTGAGAGGGGGTGTCATCCCCCGGGGGGGGGGTGATGGCGCAACCCGACTTGTTTTCACTTTTGAACTTGGGGGTAAGATGAACCTAATTCCAAAATTTCATTCAATTCGGAGCACAGTAAAAAAATTCAGAGGTTATACCCTTTTTTCCTCTCCGTTTACTGCACTATAAGTACCGATAAGTAAAAAAGAAATGTGCTTTAATTATTACGTACGTAAGCGATCGGCTGATATCATTGAAAAAACTCTGAACATAATTTTTTACATTGTTGGGACAATTATAGCTGATTTTAGAATGACTCTGTTATGCAAGGTCGCGAATGCATTAAATATAAGAAGAGCGAAAACATATTCTAACCAATATTTCATTATGCAATTATAATTAATTTTAATTTATGGGAGAAACAAGTATTATTAATATGTTCTTTGAGTTTGTTAAATATTTAACATATTCATACTCAAAGTCGAAATTGATGTGTTAGCTACTCATAGGTGCCAAAACTTGTTTTTTTGTTAAAATTTCCTTGAAAACAATTCGCGGACGTCCACTAATCTTCACTCAGAGCACTAAACGATGCACTCACCTGTTGAGTGATTGATTGGTGAATGGAATTCGTTCACGGTTGCAAAGATTCATTCAATGGATTTCTCTGCATGTTTAGTTTTTTTTTATTAATTTGTTTTGTATTGGCTAGGATCATTTTCATCGACAACAGGAAATCATTTTCGATTGGATTGCGCAATCGAAACTTTTTGGCAAACCACAATGCTAAATTAATCAAAATTATATGATTTGTCATTGGATCACTAATGATAATTAATGATTGCAGTCACGATGATATGTTGTCTAGTCTGATTTGCCATTAACGATTTTTTATAAATGATAATGAATAAAATTACTGTATTTTTTGGCTCAGATTGATATTTATGGAAATATTTTATACAGCTAAAGTAAATAAAATAATAGTTTGAAAATATTTTTATTTTTGAAGTAAAACTTTTTTAGGCTCGACTAGGGTGCTCTCGATTAAACAAATTAAACGTTTGTGCCATGAACTAAACGTAAGTTTATTGATTTATTGATTAGAAATTATTTCTATATTATTCGTAGTTTCTGTAAATCTTTGAAGTTATTAAAATAGAAAATATTTTTAGGCAAGACTGATATTACAGCTGTGTGTACAAAGAATGAGATTATATCGCCAGCGAAAAAGTAAAATACGAATCGAATGTTTTTTAAATTATTCAAATCGGATGATCGGTATTCCCGAAATCTTCGACGAAAATTTGTATCCCCACACACACATACATCCATTTTTTCTAAGGTATGCCAAAATGTTCAAAAACCTTTGAAACGTAAAAATATAGGGGGAAGTTCCCGAGTGCCGGACACCTAAGGTTATTTATAAATAAATCAAAAAATATTTTACGAGATGTTTAATAAATTATGACTTATGTTAGATAACAAAGTTAGAAATCAAACTAAATTAACAAAAACGCAATATTTGCTGAAAATAATTAATACTATCAATCAAACTTTGGTAACAAGAAATAAGATTTTTCAAAGTGGCACCTAGTACCGGACATTTCAAAATAACCAGCATTGAACCCATATGTAGCCATCTCCACACTCTGGAGTGTCTGCACATATGTGTTTGATGAATATTCTTAGAAAAAACACTATTCATCCACCATTTTGGCTGGGCCACACCGATGCTCTCAGCTGGAGCATTCATCATAGGATTTTCATTTTTTGACTAGGAAATACGAAAAATGAAAAGAAGAATTTATTTGACTAAGAAATGAATGAAAAAAGTGACCGTTAGCACTCATACAGAACAAAATTAAATAATTAAAATAAATTACGTAAATTCTCAGAAGAAATATCAATATGTTTACTGTCCGGCGCAAAGGGACAACTTAGTGTCCGGTGCTAAGGGACAGGCATGTTAGTTCATTTGGTGATACCTACTAAAATTGTTTAAAATATCTAATAATATTCTACGATTTTACGGATAACAATAAAACACTACTTTTACTTTTGCATACCACTCAAATGTAAATGCAAATTATTCAAATATTTCAAAAATCTAATTTTTCAAAGTTTTCAAAAATTTTTGAAGGTTTTTCAAAAAATTAAATTTTCAGTATAAGAAGTTTCAGGAATTTGCCTCCATGCACGATTCTATTAACCACTAGTGCAAATTTGATTTTTTTGAATAAATGCGTTCTGTTATGCCAAACTTGCATTAAAATTTATTTTCTGTCTCTTTAGTAGGTTTAATACCTTATATCTATTTCCGCAATAACATATGCTATATATGCTATGTATTTTTTATCTATTTATCAGTGAGAGAGGTTTTTCCAAACCTCTCTAACCAGGATTTAAATGCGATATCTGGTTCCATAATGCAAATAAACAAGCCGCTTAACGAGTCAAATCTCAGGTCGTCGTCTTAAATGAATAACAGTAAGCATGACATAATACAACTATCGAAATCCGCTTTTTGCAGCTCCACGAAGAATTATTTAAAACGCCTTACAATTTTTTTCAATGAGTTTAAATAAATAACATGGTCAAAGTGAATTTGCTAAATGTTTTGCTTCTATAGACAACTTTGATAATTAATTATTCTGCGATTGATGTGCCAGATAATCGTATTGATTATTGTTTTGTATTGAATAAAACGAGTTCCAAAAAAGTTGCAAGAAAAATATCAGTTCATATTGCTGACATGGTGGCAACTGTTGGACTTGTATTTGTTGTTTATCGGTAAAATACTTTCCAGTAAAAATAAATATTTTACGAGGAGCAAAAAATCAATATTGTCTATCTATACAAGAGTCTTGATTTAACAATCTTTTCTAAAACACAAAGTTCAGCGATTGTCCTAGATGAAAATATACAAAGAAAATATGCAACACTATTTATTCGTTTTCTACACTTTCAGACCAGTTAGTAAAATCAACAGATTGCTTAACTCATAAAATAAATACAGACTTTATTTAATGTCATATTGACAATAACAATCACAGCAAACGGAATGCCTATTTGAAATGTCACATAACAATACTGTAATCAATTTCAAATTTATTGACATAATATAATGTGCTAATAATATGATCCATATATGAAGATTGTGTTTTTGTGCATCATTATATTTGTTTTTCAGGTTTACTATAGTTTTGCACATATTAAGGGCTTTATTAACCAGTTCAATCTCTTCACAAGTGCACGCAATTTTGAGCCTTCAGAATCGAGTAATGACGAGTATATTCGTCAACCACACACTAAGTCGCTCTGGTATGAAATTGAGTCAAACAGGTGCGTTACTAATTTTTATTTTTTGGTTAACACAAGCATGTTGCACATACATATTGAACTAAAAACAAAGTAAATTCAATCAAATATTATGCATAGAAACATAAGAATTCAAATTTTGGCTGTGGAGGGTATTATAGATAATGGGACTTCGCAAAATAGTTCTTGCAGTTTCATATTTTTACCAACATCTAAAAACGTTATATAAATTCATTACGCAAACTCGTGAAGTTTTTCAATCAGTGCATACCTTGGAATTTGAGAATATGTTCAATTTTTTTTTACAAAAATTACAATTTAAATAACCAATTGTCACTAATTTGTAAGAATAATGAGTACGGAAGACTGGGTACGGTTGTGCAGGGCTACGGTGTTGACAGTCGTCATAATAGCCCAGTAAATACCGAGCGGTGGTAGCAATCTGAAATCCACATTCATTCCACATGGGCATCACAGCGCTGAAGGCACGCTTGTGGATTTCAGGTTGCTGCCGCTGCTGAAATCACACGGTGTTTACTGGGAGCTAAACTATACTGATTTTGAAATGGGGTTCAAAGAGAGAATTATGAAGTATTATATGATTGATCGAACAAGTTTCCATTATTGCTTTCAATCATCAGTGTCTTCTTACATTACCATGGTCTGTATACCACATTGCTTTTAAAGAGTCAAATTAAAGTTTCATGTTTGAATTCTTCTAATAATAACTGTTAATTGTATACATATAGATTACTTTGTTTGTTATTTTGCTGTAAGTTGAACATTAGTAGTTATTTATCAGCAATTAGTTGTTGCTTACAATTAGATAATTTAGCTCAGTCATAATGATAATTTGTTTTTAAAAGTGTGCGTTGGGTACGGTTATGACTGATTTTGTGGGTACGGTTGTGACATGTTTCAAAAGACAATCTCCCCTATACTCTTTAACGTACAAATGTTTGCCATTTATGTTTGACGAATATACTCGTGAATCACATTTAACTGGTTAATAAAGCGGTTTCCAACCTGTGGGGCTCGCCCCCTCAAAGGGGCGCCAGGTTGTTCCAAGGGAGGCGCGTACACCTGTTTCAAGAATACTATTATCGCAAATAACCTAACATTTTTGGAACGATATTAAAAAATAAACAAAAAATAATTAGTTTTTATGTATATTTTTACATAATATTGAATTTGTAGTCTGATAATATCTGATAATAGATTGAATATTTATAAAATTAAACTGTTGAAAAAACTAAGAGGGGCGCAACAATTTGTTTTATTAGAGCCGGGGGGCGCGATGCAACAAAGTTTGGAAACGACTCGTTAATACCTGAATATGTAGCCATAAAAAAGTGTGAACCAATGAAATATTAATAAATTACAATTTTTCTATTTTGATTATGTAGTTCCACATTTAGCAATTTTTTCGATATTTTAGCGTATATCTTATTTAAATGGCAACTCAGTAGTTGTACTATTCTAGTTGCCACATAACAATGCCCCCAAAAGGTAATTTTCACTTGAGATTTTAATTGAACTCTCTAACCTCAAGTAGAAATCTGATATCCTGCTGCTTGATACCGAGCTGGCCGAGGTTGGAATCGAAACCGGGAACTAGGGATTGCTAGCCTACGTTCTTGACCTCTACTCCAGATTACAATATCTCTTAATAAATGTATTCTACTTTTTCATTTCTTTTGGTGACCTACAAGTATTATAAAAGCAGATCTAATAACAGTATTCCAACACGCGTTGTCTTGTCTAACTTCTAATGACGTCTGAATATATCGTCATATCCTGTGTCTTATTGGAATATCAATTGTCAAAATTACAATTAATTGCTCGACAGGATACGTGAGCAGGATATCATTTTAAATAATAATAAATTATATCGCATTGTTTTAAGACGACGCGAAATATGATGTCGAGCCAAGTCGAGGTCGCAAGAAAATTAGTAGCTGGTTTACTTTAACATTTCAATTGATTTTAAAGAAAGTATACAAAATGCCCGTAAAGTTTATATTCCAAAGATTACATACTCAAATATTAATGTTTTGTTATAATATTTTGTTTGCAAATATATTTTTGTGTATAGTTAGATGTGTACATGCTTTGATGTTTTCGACAAAAGACATAAATAAATTTTTATTCAAAACGTGGTCTAGCAATTTCTAGTTGGGTTTGATCTCAACACATGTCAGCTGAGTATCAAGCAGTATGATACGAGATTTTCACTTGACCACAGATCCCAAATGTGATCTTAAGTAAAAAATAGTCTTTCGAGGGCATTGCTGCAACATACACACTATTAGACATATATTTAATATAAACACCACAGAGAGAAAAATAGTTAACTGATGACTTCTCAGTAGTAGTGGGTTAAGTGTCCATAACAAACTTTCTGTTTGCTGTTGAAGCAAAAAATAATCGGTAATAGTATTGTACACTTACAAAATAGGAAATTAGAAGCAAGTTAAATATTGATTATCATAATAAAAATTTCAAACAATTGCAGTTATATCTACGTTCTGCTAAATTTTAACTATTATTTTTATTAATTCTGTTCAATTTCATATTATAGTAGTTATAATTCATGGTGACGAAATTGAATGCCAAAAAATTAAAGAAAATGATGTATGACTTGAAGCTATATATTCGTGTTCATATTTGCTCACAAATTTTTATATTTTTTCATATATTGATCATAATCAATATGAACTTTAGTTTCAATTAGATTATCTTCTGTCGAAATATGCCGTTAAGCAAATTCTCCATTGAAAAATTTCGTGTTTTAGTATTTTATATCATTTTATTTAATTAAAATTTTAGTCTTATGATGGACGTAAGTTTTTTTGACTTTTGTTCGAGTTTTTTGGGTGATTGTCATTTTTTATATCTGTAGTTGATGTAGTTGACTTCATTCACGAGTTTGATTTATAAATCTGGATGTATGGTATCATTGAAAAATTACAATGGTTCTTAATATTTTGGACTGTTACTACTTTATAAAAGACAATCTCGTTCTCATATGATATTTTAAGATTACTTTACAGTAGCCAGTAAAGCTCCCATATTTTGTTATCTATTTGCTCACGCTTTGTGTTTATTTGTACATTTTATGCAAGTCCTTTGTCCAGCTGGACCAAATATTGTGGACTGTGGTTCTTCTTAGTATTTTCTTAATGTTCATTTTTATATTCGAACCATCTCCTTATTTAGATTTTAGATAATTTTTAAAGCTCTCACATTGTAAACAAATAATCCTTTTCTGTTGAACGTAACAAATTGCATGTATAGGCGGCTCCACCGGAAAATGTTTCCTGAATAGGATTGGTAACGTAATGCAGCGCATTAGTGACCTCTAATAAGCAATAACGTATTGTTTTTAATAAGATTCATTACTTTTTAGAGATTTTTTAATAAAACACAAACCTACACATACACGCACAATATTATATAAGTCTACCATCTAATATTATATAAATGTTTACATATTAAAGAAATCTTTTTAAAGTAGATTTTCCGATTGATGTTTCTTGCAATTATGCAGTGACAAGGTCATGAACAAACGTGATGACAATTCCCGCCTTTATGACGTAAACATAACGTTTTTGGATAGTATTTTAGTGTTTATTGAGCAGTGAAAAAAATTCATCACATGATAATCTTTCATTGCAAATACTCATTAATTAAAAACGTATTATTGTAATTTTAGACATAAAAAACTGTGTATGTTTTCTGCTATCAAATTAAATAATATTGCATTTTTTCTTGCTTTTGCTTGTTTCCAATTGTTAAAATATACCTTACTCTAAAATCTAGCCATGGATAGATTGAATAGCTTTTTATTTTTTCATCGCATAATATGAAATTGTAAGTGCTTTTGATTACTTACTTCACAGACAGAATGAAGTCTAGGGTCAAGTTATGATGATTTAATAAATTTATATATATATATATTCTGAGTGGATAAAAAATATTAATTTGGAAATATGAACAGACAACACTCTTTTTTGCACTAATTTATATTAATTAATAAATTAGTGCAAAAAAGAGTGTTGTTTATTCATATTTCCAAATTAATATATATATATATATATATATATATATATATATATATATATTTGATATTCTTTTTATCAAATGTTCTGTCAATATATATAACGATAAAGTTTAAATTCGATCTACTGTATATTATTTTTCAAAACATAATGAGAGGCTGGAATGCAAATAATTGCACGCTAAAACTCATTCGATATAGAGATCGCTAATTGTTATGGATCACATTAGTGTTATTTGCGTTGTTACAGGTATTTCAAGCAGACTGATAATAATTTGATTTATTCGTTTTGTTTGAATTTACAGAATTTTTGTTATTGTGTTGGTGGATATCAAATATTTGACGATAACTTTAATATCGTGCACGTTTAACTTAACGTTTTTATCACAGTTTTATTATAGAATTATTTAGTTTTGTGTAAAAAAAAGTTCACAACGAAGTTCGGCACATCAATGAGTTTATCTTCAAAAAAAAGTCAGGTAAATATTTGTTCTTAGTACTGATTACTACTAAAAAGAAAAATATTTTTTTGAATTAATTGAAATACATAATTTAAATAGCCTAAAGATCTACATAGGGTAAAGCGGAGCTTAAAAGTCTGCGGGGAAAAAGTTCCACCGACAATATCTCAAAGATAAGTTTTTTTTATTTTAATTACAATCTGTCACACTTGGGACATTCAGTAATTGTTTTGACTTTATTATATGGCACGAGAGGCAATTTTCACAAAGTTGCCTGATGTCGGGATTTGGCATTAAGTAAAGTTAAGAATTTTTTAACAACAATATTTGAAAATAGTGCAAAAAAAATTATAACCAGCCATCACCTTGATTTTTACGACGTTGCTCTTGGGAGATAAATTGGTAATGTTTGAAAATCCATAACAAAAGTATTTTCTTTCGTTGCTAGTTTTTTTGGTTGTAAGCACTGTTGATTAGTTTACGCGACCTTAATATAATTTTTA